TGTAGACAATGAGTTACCTCATTATTTCATGTTTCGCCCAGACACCTACTGAACCTTGCAAATTGATAATGTACGAACAAGCAATTTAGCATCCTTAATCCGATTGTCATGATTAGAATTACTGAGTCAAAAATTTTATATCCCCTTCAGATTGTTATTTTTTGAAATTTTTATAAAAAATATATATTATAACAATTTAATATATGTAACGTAAAAAAGGATTGAAAAATACGTTATGTAAAAACTTTTTGAGAAAAAAGGACCACATTTCATTATTTAATTCAGACCTACTTGCACAAAAAATATTTATGATTTCAGGGGTAATCCGGGTCAGATCTGGGCTGCAACTAGCAACCAGAAGTTGCTTATCTGTACAACTATTTATCTTTCCCGGTTGTAGATCGCTCATGGCCTAGATATGTTTCCGCCATTCTGCTTTTGCCCCGGCCCAATATTACTTCTAGGCGTTGTATATTAGTCCGAGGCGGATACTCTCTTTTTTTTTTTAGGTCAATCATCATTTATCCATCCTAAATCTATTCCTAGTCTTACTTTAACTTATATTATAAGGACGATTCAATTGGACTATAAAAAAATCAACGGACCAAATGAGTGCACTACGCACCGGTATAGATCTGAGTCACTTAAAATGAGAGTCACATATAATGACAAATAGTGGAAGATAAGATTTGAAATTTTAACCTCCCACCCCACTCAGACTTAAACGCTATGGTAGCAGCCCAAATGGCTATTGGTTCCGAGGCGGTATGTACTCCATAAAGGAAAATTATCATATCTTAAATTCCTAATATATAAGAATAGATTTGAGAATAGATTTTTAGGAAATTACAGGAGCCAACCCTTGATTTTTAAGAATAGATTTGTGAACATTTTTTTGGTAGATAAGATTTTACTAATACACAACAAAATACGGGGCATACCCCTTATAAATTTCTAATTCCAATAAATTTCATAAGCAAAAGGAATAGAAAGAAGCTCGCAGCGGCTGCAAATTAAATCAGAACACAACAGCAAATCTTTATTGGCCTATGTCATTACAAGCCGCAGGAGTGTTTCTTGTTTTATGCAGAATCTCTCCCAGCATTTTTCTACACACACACTTAGTAGTGTTAGACGAAGACACACACTTAGTTTTATAATTCTCAAGAATTAATCGCTCTCAATTTGCATTTCTTAATTAAGCTAAATTGAGAAGATCAGTTGTATGGACTATAAACTAAGGTAAACAGCACCGGAGCTCTTTATTACTTTTCACTATACAATTTTAAAAATTACTTGTTATTAGTTTGCATAGTGTGGCAGAAAACTAAGAAACTTTTGATTTTCAAGGAGATAATAAATGTAGATCGAAGACTATTAAGACTGAAGACAATGTCATAGAATTATTACTTTCAGGTAACATTTCCAAACTCTTAATTTCCTCCCTATGCTAGTTTTTGCATCAATTCCATAAAACTCTATTGGCTAGGCAGAGTTTATTTTTACACAGAATACATACTCTGCATCATATCATCTTCTGCTGATGCCTGATAGTGCTGCGGTGGGGGGGGGGGGGGGGAGGGATAGGGCACTGCAGTCTGCATTTAATAGGAGGCAAGATACCTGCCAAAACGAAAAACATCATCCAAGTTCAACATATCTGATTCATCTATTAATTTAACAAGAAAAGAAATGGACAAGAGGTTCACATGGCCTACATTGAGGATCAACATGTAGATATCAACCTGGAAATAATGAGCGTTGTTGGCCTGCATTGAGGATCAACATGTAGACATTCTCTTGCTAGTTTGAGAATGGATAGCAGACACTTTTCAATTTGTTGATTGGGATACAGAAGTCTTTGGTCTAGCAAGTCTTTTAGTTCTATCTCTTCAGGCTTTGAAGACATTAGATTAGCAATCAAGTCACCAGGATGCTTTCCTTTGATTACTTCCATTGTCAGGACTCCAAAGCTATAAACGTCACACTTTTCGTTAACTTTCATTGTGTAGGCAAATTCTGCAAAAGAGAGTTGGAAAATGTTTTTTCATGTTATGTGATCATACTTGAATTTACTAGTTAACAAATTAGTGACAGGAAAAGGAAAAAAATAAACTTTATTACCTGGTGCAACATATCCATATGTGCCTGCAAGAGAACTCCAGTTAGATGAGTCTCTTCTGAGAAACTTGGAAGTGCCAAAATCTGAAACGTGAGCCTCGCATTCTGGATCAAGCAAAATGTTGTTGCTTGATATGTCTCGGTGTACAATTGGTGGTGAACATGGTTCGAAGACTCGGCCGAGTCGTAACCGTCTCGGCCTAGGCCGAGACGATACCGCGACGATTCGAGACCGAGATATTTGTCTCGCCGAGAAATCGGCCGAGACGTCACCGCGACGGGTTGTCACGGTCGAGTCACCCCGAGTCATCCCGAGTCAAGGTGAATTTAACAAAAAATCTATAGAAAAAAAGCAAAAGGGACACAGTACTATCACGTGAAAAGATGCGTTTTCTTTTCCACGTTAAAGTGAAGGTAGTACCTTCACTTTACTTTGAAGGGTCCACGTTCACTTTACTAAATTATTGGACTAGTAGTGTTGCAGAACGTAGTAATCCTTTCCGTTTCCTTCAATTCTTCTTCATGGTAACTTAACTCTGTCTTCTTGCCGAGCTTTGGAATTCCGCCCTCTGAAACAAAGTAGAATGTTGCAAAAAGATAGTGCCCAATGGAGTCATTTGGCCATACCTTCATAGAGATAACCCAGATGGTTGTGATTCATGTCCTTTTTGCCTTGTTCTCCCTTGCCTTGTCAAGCTTCAGCAGGTAATTGATTTTCTTATTGTACCTTCAGATATTCTGCTTGTAAGGTGCTCTAAGACATTAGAGTTATTAAAAGAAACTGATCCATTACAAGGGCCAACTGTAGCTTTCCCAGACAGTCGTTTCACTTATGATATGAATATACAGATTGGTTTAGGATAGAGTATCCATTTTGGAATGCTCCATTAAGTGTATCTGTATGAGTGCTAGTAGAATTTTGGGGTTGTTAATGTAATTTCACGTTCAGATAGGATGCATTTCATTGTTGATTACAATTTAATGCCACTAAGTTGTTGCTTTTTTCCTTCATTTATTAGGACTATTAAGTTAACATTCAGATTGGATAATTTTCATTGTTGATTACAGTTTACTGCTGCCGAGTTGTTACTTTATTCCTTCATTTGTTAGGACTATTAAGTTAAATTTAGAGCTGGGCTGCTCAATCATCCAGTGACCTTTGCAGTATAGATTCTTCATTTTTTTTTACCAATCTATCTTGTTTGTTTTTTCCAAGATTGATTGTGGATTTTATCCTTTAGTTTGACCCATGAACTTGCCTAATCTTTCCACATTGTTAAGCATTTTGAGGCTTTACGCAGAACGTAGCATGCTGGTGTCCATGTAAAATCTCACGAGGGGGAGCAAATGAGCATGCTTCTTAGCTCATTCTAAAATTCCATTGCTCCATGCACTACTGTTCCTATTGCTTTTTCAGCATCCTCCCTCCAAGCATCATGTTGGGTTCAGGGCACTCAATTTTGTCCTAATAATTTGTGAGATTGGTCATTTTTTGTGAGCAATAGCTGTGTGGACGCATCAGCTAATTGGAGTTTGAGCTAGTTTGAGTCCTGCTCTTCCTTCCTGCTGATAGGTATCCCCAGGTGGAAATTAGCAATCTGCATTCACAAGTGACTCCAAAGCGTGAGTAAATTTCTTGTCTTTTTACCGGCTTTTTAATGGTTAGCAATCTTGGAGGTTGGATTTGTACTTTGCTTACTAATCCATTGCGATGCTTACTAAATTATTCTTTTTTCCAAGAATAATTTTTCCTCTATAAATTTAGTAATCCTTATGTATAAAACAAAAACTTTTGTAATTCTTGGACGACTAGGTAGCAAAGTGAGTGAAAAATCATGTCTAGTTATATATATATATATATATATATATATATATATATATATGACGATGGTTAACAAAGAAATTGGAGAGATATGAGAATTGCTTCCACTGTACGTGTATATTTTTGTGCTAATAGAGAGGGACATTTAGTATTATCTTCCAACTTATTATAATACATAATCATCCTGGTGATCATGATCATGAACTAAAAACTATAGGAAGATGGAGAGCTAAATTATATGTTTAAGTTAATCACCCATCAACAAACAAAATGCCGAAGTTCTTATAATAAATGAAAAAATGATCATTGTTGCAGGTTTACATTATAGATTAGATGTTTAACTTACTAATATAATAGAAATAAATTATTATAATTATAAAATGTTAGAAACTGCTTGTTGTATTTTTTTTTCATATATCTTTAATTATTTTGTGATGTATTAACCATTTATATTGATATGTGTAATAGTTACAATGACGAGCAAGGATATTGGTTGGGAATATGGTAAACCCGTGGGAGGGAATAGAAAAATTGTGAGATGCAATTATTGTGAAAAAATAATGCATGGTGGCATTACAAGGTTGAAAGAACATGTCGGTCATGTCATAGGACAAGTTGAGCCTTGTCCAAGGGCCTCAAGTGAAGTTAGAGATTTAATGAAAATGCATCTAAAGATTGGTAAGATTCAAAGAGTTACAATAAAACAGAAAAAAGAAGAAATATTGAATTCTTTCCAACAAGAAAGTATGCATGGTAATTTCAACATGGTTGGCGACGAGGAGGACGAAGTCTTTTTTGAAATTGATGAAGAAAGTCGGATGGCGTTGGAAAAAAAACAAATGAAGCAAGCAATTAGAGAGAGCCAATACTTGCAATTTTTAGACGAACAACGAAGGCATTCGGTATCTGGGAGTCGACTTTCTATGTTTATGTCAGGTATGATTTGTAAACTAAAATATTATAACAAATTTGATACTATTTTATTAAATATAATTACATAAAGTTGCAATTTAGTCATTCATTTTTTATTTGTTAAATATTGTGAATTTTAGGGAATATGGGTGTTGGCACTTCAAACCCAACGACTTCTGAAAATAAAAGAGGATTGTCACGTAATTTCAGTGTCAGACAAGCAGATGAAATGACAAGCAGAGGAATTGACTCACATATGTTTCCTTCGAAACAAAAATCAGTCAAATCAATGTTTGCGAAGGAAAATATAAAAAGAGTTGGTAAGGCAGTTTCAAAGTTTTTTCATTTCAATGCTATACCATTTCATGCAGCTGACAATCCTTATTATCAATCGATGATTGATGAAATTGCCAAAGCTGGTTCTGGTATTAAAGGCCCTTCAGCTTATCAAATTGGAAATGAATATTTAGATAAAGAATTTGAAGAGCTTGAGAAATATCTTGGAGATGTTTATGATAAATTTTCAACTTTTGGTTGTACACTTATGTGTGATGGGTGGAGCACTCGTACAAAACATCCAATAATAAATTTTATGGTATACTGTGATAGGCACATGATATACCATAGTTCAGTTGATTGTACCAATATTAAGAAAACTGCTGAATATATTTTCAAGTTAATGGATGAGGTAGTAGAGGTTGTGGGGGAAAAAAATGTTGTGCAAGTTGTGACAGATAGTGAATCTAGTATGAAAGCTGCTGGACAACTGTTGATGAAAAAAAGAAAAAATCTTTTCTGGTCACCTTGCGCTGCGCATTGTATAGATTTGATGTTGGAGGATATTGGCAAAATGGATAATGTAAAAGAAACTATTGCTCAGGGGAAGAAGATAACAAGTTTCATATATAACAGTGACAAAGTAGTGAATCTGATGAAGACATATACAAAAAAAAGGGAACTGCTACGTCCAGGTATCACTAGATTTGCAACTGAATTCATTTCTATGGAAAGTCTTCTTCGGCATTGTACAGAACTGAAAAGAATGTGCACCTCAGATGAATGGGCAGAGTTTAATAATACTACCAAGAGAAAAGCAGAAGCTATTAAAGTAGCTGAGTTGATATTGTCAGAGAAGTTTTGGAAAAAAGTTAGAAATGTGTGTGCAATAATGGAGCCTCTGGTCAAAGTTTTAAAAACTATTGATCAAGATAATAAGCCAACATTGCCAATTATTTATGAGGCAATGGATAGAGCAAAAATGGCTATTCAAAAGTCGGTGAAATCTTGGAAAACAATTTGGGAAGTGATTGTGACAGGTTGTCAGCCTGTGCAATAATAAAACCTGCTCAAACTAAAAGTGATTTCTGTAGATAGCGGTAAGCAGGGTCGAATCCACAGGGACTGGGAGTAATTATTTCTTTTCAAGTTCACAGTGACAAGGGGGTGTTTTTGTGCAGAAGGTGACAATCAAAGAAATTCAACTAAAATCTAAGAAACTACTAAAAATTAAATAACAAATTACTAAAATCTAATGAGTGATAATTAAGGATCTAGTCAAGGAATAACTTCAGCAATAGTTCACCTAATTGATCATTGAAGCAAAGGCAATTCCAATTATTCATCAATAAATAGGTTATAACTACCAAACAAGCGATGGCAGTCAACCCCTCCTTACTGTGTCGGTGATCAAGGTACGCCCGTTAATCACTGCTCTAATTGAGAAATAATCCTAGGTACGCCCGTAGAATTTAATTCCCCAACTGCCTTACGTATTAGAGGAGCCCTATTCTAACCAAATAACACACTACCAGGGTTATTTTAGATTAGCCCGTGTATCCCTCTGACACGAACCTAATCATGCCAGTTGTCACTATTTTAGAGCAATTAAACAATTACGGATTTAATGCCCTAATTGACAATAGATTACCCAATCAACTAATTATCTGGATCCAAGACAATCAATTAATTAAATAACCATAAGTATATCAATCAAGAAATATGCGGATACCAATAAGTAAAAGGAAAAGATTAAATTAAAACGATCTCACAATTTTAGGCGACCCAAAGCATCCGTTGTCCCTTAACTAGACAAGGAAAATTAGTTCATTGTTGCTAAACAAAGCCCACAAGAAATTGTAAAGAGAGCCGCGGCCATTGTCACGGATATTTGGAGAATTCAATTCGCAAGAACTAAAGGGGAAGAAAAGTCAAAGCTGTCCTCTTTGCTCCTGACATGCGCAGGGAAGTCCTAATCAAAAGCTTCAAAAGGAAAATCGCAAGCTAAGCTCCTCAGCAATCTTCATACGTAAGAAAGAAACTAGCTAACAAGAACTAAGAAGAAAAGTCAACAACTGCGGCTAAGCTACAAGACGGAAAGCTCTCCAATGTGCGGCGGCTCTCTTTACAATTTCTTGTGGGCTTTGTTTAGCAACAATGAACTAATTTTCCTTGTCTAGTTAAGGGACAACGGATGCTTTGGGTCGCCTAAAATTGTGAGATCGTTTTAATTTAATCTTTTCCTTTTACTTATTGGTATCCGCATATTTCTTGATTGATATACTTATGGTTATTTAATTAATTGATTGTCTTGGATCCAGATAATTAGTTGATTGGGTAATCTATTGTCAATTAGGGCATTAAATCCGTAATTGTTTAATTGCTCTAAAATAGTGACAACTGGCATGATTAGGTTCGTGTCAGAGGGATACACGGGCTAATCTAAAATAACCCTGGTAGTGTGTTATTTGGTTAGAATAGGGCTCCTCTAATACGTAAGGCAGTTGGGGAATTAAATTCTACGGGCGTACCTAGGATTATTTCTCAATTAGAGCAGTGATTAACGGGCGTACCTTGATCACCGACACAGTAAGGAGGGGTTGACTGCCATCGCTTGTTTGGTAGTTATAACCTATTTATTGATGAATAATTGGAATTGCCTTTGCTTCAATGATCAATTAGGTGAACTATTGCTGAAGTTATTCCTTGACTAGATCCTTAATTATCACTCATTAGATTTTAGTAATTTGTTATTTAATTTTTAGTAGTTTCTTAGATTTTAGTTGAATTTCTTTGATTGTCACCTTCTGCACAAAAACACCCCCTTGTCACTGTGAACTTGAAAAGAAATAATTACTCCCAGTCCCTGTGGATTCGACCCTGCTTACCGCTATCTACAGAAATCACTTTTAGTTTGAGCAGGTTTTATTATTGCACAGGCTGACAACCTGTCAATTTTTGGCGCCGTTGCCGGGGACTGGCGCTAGTTATTTGTTTCTTTTTCAATTCATCTTGTTTACATTTTTTTATATAGTTTATGGCTTCTAACACTCCGTATTTTGGTGATGTATTGGATTTTATTTCCGGGCAAGGCGATGAGATTTGTTTTTTTCCTGAGTTTGCATATGCAGAGGCAGTAAACTCTATTAGAAAAAGAATGGCTGCTGCAACCTGTAAAATTTGTTATGCTAGGGATCATTCAACAGGTATGTGCCCCGAATATCAAGATAATCTAAGTGTCCCATTCAATAATTACGGAGATTTTTCACCCTGGTCTCAAACGTGGTATGACCCTAATCCAAACGGGTATGATCAAGGATGGTGGGATGACTCCAATTATAATTATGCAACGGGGCCAATGAATTTTCAGCAGTATGAGTCTCAAGAATCGTCATCTCTGTCAGGTATGTATTTTGAAGAAATAGTTGAACCAATAACTACTAACACATACCAATTCCAACAGGAGACACAAATGAGGGATGAGATGACGAAGGATGCAATGAGTTATCTGGCAGATCAACTATGTCAATTGACATCCAGAATAAATCGATGGGCTTCTCAAATGGAAGAATTGCCCTTGAAAACCATTGTTGATCTAGAAGAAAATGAGAGTGCAACTTGCTTGACTAGAGAAAATGGATTTAGCTCATCGTTGATGGAAAAACCCCATACAAAGCTGAAGTGATAGTTGCGGCCATTATGTGGTAGGAGGAATTCACTACAGACCGCAAGGAAAAATCAAATGAAAAAGCTACAGGGAAATGATTCAATGCTTCAATGGCTCCTGACATCCGAGAGGCAACTACTACTAAGAAGCAAAGGAAGGAAAAGTCAAAGGTGTAAGCTAAGCTACAGGACGAAAGGCTAAGGGAGCCAGCCGTCTTCAGTCCTCTGCTGCTCTTGCCTTGTGCGGCGGCTCCCCTTAGGGGGAAGAAGAAGACTCCTTACTTCAGCCCTGCGTTCCTCCTTTTAATGCTGCGCTCTGCGAATTACCAAAAAGGACTTGTATCTCCTTGTTCCAAAAATGCCCTGGATGCCTGCTACTTGAACTCTTTCCTGATAACTGTCAAATCGGCACTTATTATGGTATTTTCGTTCTACTCCCTGAAATATATGTAAAATACTAAAAGTGAGTAGAAACTAACAATTAATTCACATTGGGTTAAGTAATAGGGAAAATTAATAATAAAATAAATGATAAAATTGTAACCTATCAGATTGATAATAGATGGTACAATCAACTTCATCGGGATTTACATGCGGCAGGTAATTTAAAATATTACATCCAATTTAAATATGTAATATTTATTTATTTATTTTCTAATTTTGTTATTTTATTGTATTTAGCATATTTTTTGAACCCGATTCTTCAATATTCTGGAACTTGTGAGTTTAATCTGGATGAAGTTCGAAGAGGGTTAAAGAACGTCATTGCAAAGTTGGAGCCAAATTTAGATGCACAAGTTGATTCAATAAATGAGGTATTCTTTTGATTATTTTATTTATTTATATTAATCAACAAATTTTAAAATTTTAACACTTGTGTATACATTATTTTTGTAGATCAAAATTTTTGCAGACAAAAAGGGAGGCTTTGGAAGTGCTATTGCAGCAAGAGCATTACCAAAATCTTTACCAGGTTTCAACTTAATTCATACTTACAGAAACATCCAAATCATATAACTGAAGTTAATATTTTTATAATATTAAAATAATAATAATAATGTTATTATTACTTTGTTTGTTTAGCTGAATGGTGGCTTAACTATGGTGAAGATGCGCCAAATTTAAGGAATATTGCAGTGAAAATATTGAGTCAAACCTGAACATCCTCTGGTTGTGAGCGAAATTGGAGTACATGGTCATTAATTCATACAAAACTACGTAACCGTTTGGCAGTTAAAAAATTGCATAAATTAGTTTTTGTACATTACAATATGCGATTGAAGGTGAAAAATTTGATGCATCAAAGAGATACTGATGATTTCTACAACCCAATTGACTTGAATCACATTTTTCACCAAGATGATATATTGGATGATTGGATAAGAGAAAATGAACAACTCACATTGCCTGAAGATAATCTGGATTGGTTGGATAAGGGCATTCATCAAACTGAATCAGAAAGTAGTGAATATCAAGAACATGACAACGTTGGTTTTGGTGATACATTGTCCCAATATATTACCAAAAGAAATAAGAAAGGTCTTGATCCATCCTCAAGTAGGAAACAAAAAAGTAAGACTAAACAAACCAGTAAGCAGACTGTTCCGTCATCTTCAAATAAAAGTGACAGCAGTAATGATGATGATGACAATGGTGACAATGGAGATGGAGAGAACAATTCTTCCAGGCATAGTGGTTACAATCGAGATAGCCAACAAGCAGGAGGTATGTCATGGGCTCAAGGACAAGATAATTATTATGCCACTCAAGATACTGATCATGGCTATCGTCCTGGTATAGAAGCACAACGTCAATTCCTCAATGATTTAACTCAATTTTCAAGTGAGGATACTTTCTCTCACCATTCAGGGTCACAAAGATATAGAGGAGTCAATGATCAGATGCAAAATTTGGGTATATACTCAACTTATGAGCATGAATCTAATCAAAACCGTAGTACTAGTCAATTGGGATATGGCTATGACCAATCATATGGAATCACTCCTGACTATTACAGTGGATATCGGCCATTTGACAGACCTGGACAGGTTGAAAGGTCTACTAGCATTCATGGTAGTGGATACTATGAAAAAGAAATAGATAAGTCTCATGATGGTTCTTCTTTTGATTCCAATAACATTGGATTTTATGGTCATGATTCTACTGCATCATATGGTACCAGCGATAGTGTTAACTATCGAGGATTTGGATACTACCATCAACAAATCATCTCCAATCCAGAAGTTCTTCCGTCCAATGATTATGGAACATCTAGTCAATCCTCACATCCAGTAAATACACCAGATAACTCGTTTACACTACCTACTCAAGGTCCTATGCCACTTCCACATCTGTTTTACCATTCATCGACCAATCACGATGATTTTGAACCACATCGTCATTCTACTTGGTATTAACAGGTACGAAAATATAAAGTACTAGTATATCTTTTTACATATTTACCTTTTATCTAATATGATTTCTTTTTAGTTTTGGCAGGAGATTGATCAAAATATTCCAACTTTATGCTATAAATAAATCTTTAGTTTGTATTGTTAATGGTTGATATTACTTTTGCAATTATTAGTTTTAAAATTGTGGTCTATGTTATTTTGATTTTATTTGTGATGCCATTGTTTTAAATAATTAAAAGTACTTATCGTGTGTAATATGTATAAAAATAGTACGTTTTACAAATTTTCTTTTGTTATTTTTTATTATTTTTGTTTAGCATACTTTTTTTTATATTATTAACAGTTTTTAGAATATTAAATGCTTTAAAATTTGCGTCTCACCGAGACCGTGACCGATATGCCGAGACCGATGTGGAACGTTCCGGGCCGCGACCGCGACCGCGACCGCGACTTTGAACCATGGTGGTGAACAATCATGATGCATGTAAGATAAAGCATAAGCGACGCCTTTGATGATATTCAACCTCTTTTGCCAGTCTAGTTCCTTAGCTTCTTCTTCTATGCTCAAGATTTTGGCCAAGCTTCCTCTTTCGAGGTACTCATAAACCAAAATTGAATGCTGAGCATTTGAGCAGAAGCCAAAGAGTTTCACAATGTTCCGATGCTTGATTTCTGTCAAGGCCCTGATCTCATTCAAGAAACTTTTATCCTTAGCCACATTAGGTATGCTGTGAAGTCTTTTTACAGCTACTACCTCGCCTGATGGAAGCTGTGCTTTGTAAACACTTCTACAACCTCCTTTCCCAATGCAAAATGTTTCACAGAACTCTTCTGTAGACCTCATGATTTCTTTATACAATGCTTTGCCATCATAAGCACATATGGCAAATAAACCGCCCTTCTTCACCTCCATATCTTCCGCTCTCGAATTTCTTTTTCTCTTATCATACAATTTGAGAGTACCGAACAATGCACCAAGAAGTGTGAATGATCCCAGAAGAGGTAATACAATTATGAGAACAAATTCCTTCCTTTTATCCTTGACATGCTTTTTAATCAACGGGGAACTTTCACAGGCTCGTAACCCTGTAATATTGCCACACAAACCTTTATTTCCCTTTACTTCTTCTAAGGTTAGATTCACAAAAGCTCTACCACTCGGAATTGGGCCCTCCAAATTATTAAAAGAAAGATTGATGTGCAATAAACCGGGTAATTCTGCCAAAGCCTTTGGGATCAAACCAGAGAGGTTATTCTGGGAGAGATCCAATGTCCCCAAACTCTGTAAATTTTGAAACTCAGATGGTATCTCTCCTGTGAAGAGATTTTGACTCAAATCTAGTTCAGAAAGTTGGGTTAACTTCCCAATCTGCAGTGGAATCTTTTGACTTAAAACGTTATTGCTCAAGTTCATGTGAAACAAGTGTTTCAAATCTCCCAGAAGTTCTGGTAAAGTTCCATTCAAGGAGTTTGTGGACACGTCTAGAAATTCCATTAACACTCCCAATTCTTGAGGTATACCACCAGTAAGCTGGTTGTCATGTAAATCTAGTTTAAGCAAAGAAGTTAACTTCCCAACTTCTCTCGGTATCTCCCCTGATAAATAATTTGAAGAAAGATCAAGTGTGTGTAGTTGAGTCGAATTTCCAATTTCTGGCGGTACACTACCCGTGATGTTGTTCTTTGCAACTATAAGGGTTTTCAGCATTTTGCATTTACCCCAGTTGTTGGAGAGTTTCCCATAGAATTTGTTAATGCTGAGATCTATGAAATCCAGGACTGGATAGACTTCAAACATTTCTGATATGTTTCCTTGGAAACGGTTACCGTTGAAACGGGCCCTAAATAAGCTTGAGCAGTTTTGCAAGCTTTTAGGGATTGGACCGGTAAGCATGTTCTCGTCTACGGTAATGTTTTGGAGAATTCCACTTTGACACAATAGTTCTGGCAATGGACCAGAGAACTGATTTCTAAACAATCTCAAAGCAACCAACTTATTCAGGTTTCCAAGCTCTTGTGGAATGGTACCAGAAAAATGATTTTGTCCCAAAGACAAAAGTTCCAAATTACTCAAGTTTCCAATTGAAACAGGAATTGAACCTGAAAGTTGATTGAGAGATCTAGTTTCACCAGCCTATTGAGGTTGCCAAAAGTAGTAGGAATCGAACCAGAAAATTGATTGTTATAGAGGTACAGTACTTTCAAGGTACTCAAGTTACCAATTGAAGCAGGAATTGAACCATTAAGTTGATTGAGAGAGAGATCAAGTTGAATCAAATTGGTTGAATTGCCTAGTGACTTTGGGATTGCACTAGTGAGATTATTTTGATACAGGTAAAGAAACTGAAGTGAGCTCAATTTCCCTATCACTGAAGGAATGGGACCAGATAGGTGATTTTGGTAAAGGCTTAGATTCACCGGCCTATTGAGATTACCAAAAGTGACCGGAATTGAACGAGAAAATTGATTGTTTTGGAGATACAATTCAATTAAATTGGTCAAATTTCCTAGTGATTTTGGGATCGCACTGATAAGATTATTGTAGCCCAAGGAAAGAAGCTGAAGTGAGATCAGATTCCCAATAGCACTAGGAATTGGACCAGAGAGGTGATTACGGAAAAGCTTTAGATCCACTAGCCTATTAAGGTTACCAAAAGTGGGCGGAATGGTACCAGAAAATTGATTCTCATGGAGAGCCAAATGTTCCAAGTCACTCAAGTTTCCAATTGAAATAGGAATTGAACCTGAAAGTTGATTGAAAGAGAGATCTAGTTTCACCAGCCTATTGAGGTTGCCAAAAGTAGTAGGAATCGAACCAGAAAATTGATTGTTATAGAGGTACAGTACTTTCAAGGTACTCAAGTTACCAATTGAAGCAGGAATTGAACCATTAAGTTGATTGAGAGAGAGATCAAGTTGAATCAAATTGGTTGAATTGCCTAGTGACTTTGGGATTGCACTAGTGAGATTATTTTGATACAAGTAAAAAAATTGAAGTGAGCTCAAATTCCCTATCACTGGAGGAATGGGACCAGATAGGTGATTTTGGTAAAGGCTTAGATTCACCAGCCTATTGAGATTACCAAAAGTGACCGGAATTGAACCAAAAAATTGATTGTTTTGGAGATACAATTCAATTAAATTGGTCAAATTTCCTAGTGATTTTGGGATCGCACTGATAAGATTATTGTAGCCCAAGGAAAGAAGCTGAAGTGAGATCAGATTCCCAATAGCACTAGGAATTGGACCAGATAGGTGATTACGGAAAAGCTTTAGATCCACTAGCCTATTAAGGTTACCAAAAGTGGGCGGAATGGTACCAGAAAATTGATTCTCATGGAGAGCCAAATGTTCCAAGTCACTCAAGTTTCCAATTGAAATAGGAATTGAACCTGAATGTTGATTCTCAGAGAGATCCAGTTCAATCAAATTAGTCAAATTACCTAGTGACTTTGGGATTGCACCAGTGAGATTATTTTGATACAAGTAAAAAAACTGAAGTGAGCTCAAATTCCCTATCACTGGAGGAATGGGACCAGATAGGTGATTTTGGTAAAGGCTTAGATTCACCAGCCTATTGAGATTACCAAAAGTGACCGGAATTGAACGAGAAAATTGATTGTTTTTGATAGGGTATAATTTGTTAGTATTTTTATTATTAATTTTCCATTCTATCCCTGACAAATATTGTGTTAATTGCTGATATTTACTCATATTTGGTATTTGGAATCAATTTCAGGATTGAAGCAGAAAACTACCAAAAAGAAGGGACTTTGTGAAAAATATGGAGACTTCTAAGGGCTTCAATCCTTGGGCCCTTGAATTGGTGGGGGACCACAAGCTAGTGAAACGCATTTGGTCATTTGGGCTTCAAAGAAAGCAACGAGACTTGGAACAAGAAGTACTTGGGAGGCTTTGTCCACATGTGTGGGGACCACCTAGATAGCTTTTAGTCATCTTTCTTTTGTTGCTTTAAAAGGGGACAACGTACAGAAGCAAAAGATATCTAGGGCTTTAGTTTTAGTTTTTTAGTTTAGTTATAGTTTTCTTTCTTTGGACTGGCCTCTGACACACACCAGGTATTCGACAATATTCTCCAACGGGGAGATTTTCTCATGAGGCGTGGTTAAGCTTTTCTAGTCAAGGGGACAACTGACGATTTGGTTCGACAATTACTGTGAGATCGAATCTATTTTAATTATTTTCTTCATTTATTGGTATTTATATGTTCCTTGATTTTAATTGCTATGGCCTTGTGTATGATTGATTAGTGCGCAATAATTAATTATTCATATAGGCTATTTTTGCTAAATAGGGGTAATAGAATCCGTAATTGTTCGTTATCTCTACCTCAGTAGCAACTGGCGTAATTGGGTTTATGTCAGGGGAGCATATGATCTAATTTAAACAAACCCTCGTAGCGTGTTTGTTGGTTAGGATTGGGCCTTTCTAATTATTAATGCAATCTAGAAATTAAATCCTACGGTCGTACCTAAGGTTATTTTTGGGTTAGAGAAATAGCTAACGGTCGTACCTTAGCTATCGAGAAATTAAGGAAGGGTTGGTTGTTTATCGCGTGCATGACAACTATAACTAATCTATTGCTAAATGTTGGAATTATTTCTGCATCAATGATCAGTGCATGAACCATTTCTGATGTGTACCCTTGGCTAGAGTTTCCCCAATCATTTCTTTTAATTAATTATTTTCTGCAGTTAATTTATTTAGTTAGCATTTAATCCAAAACCCCCCATACTTTGGACTCTAGAAGAAACGAATTATCCCCAGTCCCTGTGGATTCGACCCTACTCACCGCTATATATAAAATCTGTATTTTTCTCGAGTAGGTATTTATTATTGCACAGGTTCGGCACCTGTCAATTTTTGGCGCCGTTGCCGGGGACTGGTGCCAGATTATTTGTTTCTTTTTGAGTTTATTTTGTTTTCATTTTTTTTTATGGCTGCTAACATTCCATATTTTGATGATAGACTGGACTTTGTTCCAGAATGGGGTTATGAGACTCATGTTTTTCCTAATGATCAATGGGCTGTTGCAAATTGTGGGACTTATTTTGACTCAGGTTATTCAACTGACACATGCCCCGTATTTCAAGATAATCTAAGTTCTCCACTTGATACTTTTGGAGATTTTTCACCCCAATATCAAACGCAGTATGACCCTTATTCAAACGGGTATGATCAAGAATGGTGGGATAATTCCAATTTTGATTATGCAACCGGGCCAATGGATTTTCAACAGCAAGAGTCTCAGCAATCATCCTCCGTGTCAGGTATGTCTTTGAAGAAATGGTGAATTATATTAGCTAATAACATTCGATCACAGGAGACACATGTAGACACCCAATTTTTGGTGTTTATATTAATTTATTTATTTTACTATTCGTTTTTATTTTGTTCTATTTTTATTTGTATTTACTTTTAGTTTTAGTTTTTTATCCATTTTTAGCTAGAATTTCTCAAAGAAAAAGAAAAGTGTTCAAAAAATATGTTTTAGTTGTTTAGGGATTTAGTTTCATTATTTAAGAAAAAAGGAAAATGAAAAATGAAAAGATGATGAAATTGAATTTGCATTTGTTGTTTCTAGTTTATTTTTCATCAATGTTAATTAAATTGTTTTTATTTTTATATTATCAATTTTAATTACTTAAAAAAAAAAAAAAAAAAGGGAATACGCGATGGCAAGCTGCGTTTTTACGCAGCTTGCAAGTAAGGGCTCGGGCAGCCCTTGGCTGCAATTTTAGAGGAGACAATGGGAGTTTTAGGGTTGGGGTGGCCCCATATAAATAGAAGATGCAGCAGCAGCCGCAATGGGAGAGAGGGCATCGAGGAAAAGAAGAGCAAAAAGAAAAAACAAAGGGGGATTTTTTCGAGCGAGGGTTTCTGGCTAAACCAAAAGAAGAAAAAGAAAAGGGCAGCCGCAAGAGAGGGAGCTTCATCGTGGGGAGAGCTAGCAAACGGGAGAGATAAGAGGGAGAGCCGAGAGCAAGGGGAGGAGATAGCCATTTTGAGAAATAGAACCAGAGGAAAACAGAAAAGTAAGATCCGGAGGGCTTGGTGAAATCTGAGAAAAGAATTGCAAGAAACTTACGGAAAAGGAGGAGCTTTCGGGCAGAGTGAGGAACCAAGAGCGACGGCCAAACGAAATCTGGTGCTGTTCCTGTGGCGAACCAAGAAACTATTGAAGCTGCTGAGAAGTTGTCATGCCATTTTCAGCCGCGGACATCGAAAGGGAGAGCAAGGACTGTAAGGTTTTCATTCTTTTTTATTAGTTTTCCTCTGATGATTGAATCTTCAAGCTTGCTGTATTCTCTGTGCGCTTCCTTTGGTTTTTATAGTCTAAAGTTGCTTCTTTTATTTACTCCTATGCCGTTTGATGGGTTTGCTGATGGGTTTTGCCCTTGAGCATGTTTCTTTCCCTAAAAGTGGAAAACTTGCTTGATGAAGGTTGTTTATGCGTGGGTTCGGCCTGAGATAGAAGTTTTACAATTTATGTGAGTATGTTTGATAGGTCTCAGTCGAACTCTAGTATAATGATAATTGTATGAGATGAGCTGCAAGGCTTGCGGCAGGAAATTGCAGACGGAAATAGTGAAAAATGGCATGCTCTGTGCCTATTTTTGAAATGTTCGTTGTTTGTTCGGATGTCAAAGCTCTCTGTTTTGTTGCTGAAGTTTAGCCTAATCAAGGTCTATGATTTGTGGTCCAGTCATGCATGACTGTTTTAAGTTTTTTTTTGCTTTCCATCCTTGCTGCATTTTAAGTGCCTGAACCGAGAAGCTTATAATGTTTGCGTCACTTGCTATTTCTTTTGCTGCATTTCGACCTGGTCATTTCGGTTTAGAGTGTTTGTTAACAACTTGGGATAAGAGCTGTAGTATTCGGTAAAATTGATAGGTTTCATGGGCATGAATATGTTCTAGCTGAGAGGGAAATATTGAAGAAAGAATGGTGGCTGGAGTTTGTAGAAATACATGAGTTACTTCGCATCAGTTTCTGTTTAAGTTTTACTTGTTTGATGCTGAAGTTGTGGTTGTTTGTTGAAATCAAAGTTATACATTGGTTTGAGAGAGTGTGGTTGAGGATAGCATTGGGTTTTCTGAAATCTGTGGCCAAAATTCAGCAAGGGGAAGCTGCTGCATTTTTTTTCTTTCTTTCCTTTGCCGCGTTTCCTGTCCCTTGATTACTGGTTGAGTTTTTGCACTTCAGTGTCATGTTTGAGGGAAGCAAGGGAAGGTTGAATGCTGAGTTTGCATGTTGAAATGTTTGGAGCATGCTCGAGCACTGAGATTTCTTTTGCTGCATTCTGTTTCGGTGGCATCCCGTTGCTGCATTTTGTTTTTTACTTCGGGCAGCTATCATTCCAGTTTCTCTGTTTTGATCTTTGCAAGAGAGGTGGAATGGCTGGGTTGATTTACAATTGGAAAAGTTGTGCCTTGTGATTGATATTCATTGGTAATGTTAAAGATGGCATTGGAACACAATAGGTTGCAACCAAGGTATTAGCTGGAATTTTGCAGAAACATAAGATTTACGTAGCATGCATGAAATATATTCTAAAATTTGCACTTTAACCCCCCAAGTTCCTTTTAGTTTCACTGTGACCCAACCAATTGAATAATTTCCTCAATTTGGTCCTTGACAATTTTAATTCTACAACTTCATTGCTTGTTTGTTTTAAATAATTACTATGTGTTGTTTCAATTGTACTTAATTCATAACTTTAGGGGACTTTATGATCAAGTGAGCTTTGCTTTGCACATTTCTTTTAATTTTTCTTAAATAAATTGGTACCTTGACCATTTCTTTATTTTGGAGGATAAATAAGTGATTTCACTTCATTGGGCCCCAATTTCAAGGGAGGTACACTCTATCCCTCATTTGCACTTCATTTGCCCCTATGTGCCCCTACGTGTTATGTGGATATGCATGTCTATTTCGCTTTCCTTGCCCTTCTTTAATTCCTTGCATTTATTTCATTTACTTTTGCTTTTTATTTAAGTTATTCATTATGGGGTATGTGTACACCTCTTGGCTTGTAATAGATAGGGCCCGGAGAGCATTTGGTCCATTTCCCCTTCCCCTTGGTTGCTTTTGTTATTCATTATGGGGTATGTGTACACCTCTTGGCTTGTAATAGATAGGGCTCGGAGAGCATCTGGTCCACTTCCCCTTCCCCTTGGTTGCTTGCTTTTGTTGCTACATGTTTAATTGCTTTATTAGGCTCTTGCATCTAGTCGAGCATGCTAAATGCTATGTGCTATGTGTTTACGAGTATTTTGGCATGTCTACTTGCTTTCATAGCCATGAATGAATGGAATGGATGAATGTACGTTTCCGCTAGTCCAACGCTAGTCGGAATTCATAGAATGAGCTAGTCCAACGCTAGACCCTTAGGGATTTCCCCTCATTAGCATATCATTTGCTTGTTCACTACATATCATGCATTTTTCCTTAGTTTTATCATCTGGCATGCTCCTCGAACCCCTTTTCCCCTCATTTTAGGATTTTTGCATCTCATACTAGTTATAGGGTTCATTTGCTTGAAAGTCCCCTTAAATATGGGATATAGACGAGTGTGGCTTTTTCTAAGCCTTAGCACGCTTGTATCCTCTCTATAAAAGGGTAAATTGAGTCACGACTTAGGTCTCCCCGTACCCAATATGCATGAATTCCCTAGACTCATGCATTCTCAATCCACTCTATCATTACACTTTCACTTTTGTCTCATTTGCACACATGCACCTTTTTATCACTTTCACTTGCACACGAACACTTTTTTATCTCCACTTGCACACGAACCCTTTTATCTTCACTTGCACACGAACAACTTTATCTTCACTCGCACACGAGTACTTTCATCTACATTTGCACACCTTCACTCTTACCTTATTACTTTTATCATTTTTTACTTCACACAAACTCACACTTTCACATGGCATGCATCCCACTCATTTTTCACGTCATTTAGGTTTAGGTGTGACCTCTCCAAAAGGATCATTATTGGGCTTCACAATTAATGTGATTAGCACCACTCAACCTTTGAAGAGAAATTTCCCCCAATACCCCTAGGTCTAGGTTTTTGCATTCATATAGACATATCCAATATGCGATACATACCTTGGGTAGAAAACTAGGAAAGGTAAGGTTAAGTCGCGCAACTAGCCTTGGCTAGGTCAAAGGGGTGCCTTGGATTCTATCCTTGCCTTCCCCTTTGTCAAACGTGACCCCCGAACCTTTTTCTTTGGCTTACGTGGACTAGGAGTCGTTTTAAAAAGGGTTTTACTACTTTGTCTTTAAAAAACACTTTTTGGGTGACTTGGTACACCCCAAATCTATACCAAGTGGCGACTCCGTTTTCATATTTAAAAACCCTTTTTAAAATTTCATTTGGCCAAATCGTCGCTTTCCAAAGTCCCATGGCCTTTTTACTTTTCATTTTGCACACATTCACACCACACTTCAATTAGAGTTCTTATTAGGATTCCCTAACATACATTCCACCAACAATTCCATTTGAATAGCAAATTTTGACCATAGTTTTTTCAAATAATTTCTAAAAATAATTTTTAAAAAACTTTTTCCATTCTTTCAATCACCTTTTAACGGATCTTCTTTAGTGTGGTATAGCAGTTTTTACCACGAAAATGGTATTACACTACTAAAGCAGTACGATATGTATTGATTGGTCACATCAATTTGATACGCATGAGGTTGCTGAAGGAGCCCATTAGGGGGGTTGCAAATTCGAGGTCAGTTAGTGTAATAAACTTGTATTAAGAAGACCCACATTGTGCATGATTAGTTGAGTAGGACTGATTAGCATAAAATAAGCAAGGTATGTAGGGAATAATAAAGAAAGTTGGCATGAAAATAAATATGGTAAAAATATTAGATTCATCAGTTTCAATAATATATTTGCCTTCATTATTCTGCAATATTATCATGTTCTTCACTGTCAATAACGTTTCAAATTTTCAACTTGATAAAAATTAGCTAATTGCTTAATCTATATTGAACTGGTTCTAATCTTTATCATGACATATTGATTTCTCTTATTTTAGGAAAAAGATGAATGAATTAGTATATTTTCTTTCTACAATGTTGCTAAATGCAAAATATAAAGAATTTTTATGTAGATATGTACATATGCAACTCTAAATCTTAACGGATTATGCTTTGATTCAAACAACAAATTTGGAATTCCATATGCACCACGCATTTGTAAACCTAACGAATTCCAATTAGATTGGAGGTTACAATTTAGCATGTTTTCTGAATTAGCCAATTTCACTATTTATTCTTTGATTCCTAATGGTTATGAAAGATGCTTGAAATTGAAGATACCATGTGCAGGTATCAATTCAATCACAGGATCTCTTCTTGATGATATATTTCAGGTGTCAACTTTGCAAGAGTTATCCCTTCTAGGAAATGGAATATCAGGTCAGGTAAGTGAAGCCATTGGCAATCTTTCCGACCTCAAAATCGTTAAACTTTATGGCAATAATTTGGTAGGTTCAATTCCTCGAGAGATTGGGAGACTTTCCAATTTGGAACAGTTGTTTCTTCATGTAAACAAACTGAATGGCACTATTCCCTCAACACTGATGAATTGCACAAGACTCATAAAGCTGAATCTAAGGGTCAACCTTTTAACTTGAGAACTTTCTGCTCTCAATTTCTCCAAATTGTTGCAGCTTAGAAAAATTGATCAATTTCGCAGCAACTCACACTTTGTGTCGATCTTTGTCCATGACGCGGTAGCCTTTTTAAGGAATTATTTCACGAATGATTCCAAAAAAAAAAACTAAGTACAAGATGCTATGATCTTAATTCAGAAAGTCACAAGAACCAAAAAAAACTTCAGAGAAATTGGTAAATACCAAGAAAAATTGATAATAATTGATGAATGTCTGAATAACAAGGCCTACTATGCCTATATTTATCATATAAGAATCCTAAAACAAACCAGAAATGAAATAACATGAAAATCCTAAATCCTAAGTGAATTAGGAAACAAAATAATATCAGAAAAGGAAACAACAATACTATATATTGCCAAAAGTCAACCATGTATAAAATGGTTCTTGAGTTTCTTGGCACGTTGTTACTTGTCCCAAGAGGATTGCTCAACTTGTTCCATATCAGTCCATCCCGCTTGAGAAGAACTCAACCTCAAGTGATCTTGCAAATCAGGATACTTAGGAACATTGGAAAATGGATGAAACAAAGACAAATCTGCCACATTAAAAGTCTTAGAAATACCCAAAATTAGGCAAATCCACTACATAGGCATTTAGATTTATCTTTTGCAAAAGCTTATAAGGCCCATACTTCTTTCGTTTCAATTTATGATACTTGTCAATCGAAAACCTCTCTTTATGCAAGAAAACCATCATCTCATCACCAACCTCAAATTTCAGTGCACGGCGATGCTTGTCCACTGCGGCCTTAAACTTTGCATTAGTTTCTTCCAATTTCGCCTTCACCTCTTCTTGAATAACCTTCATGTCTTTTGCCATTTTTTCCACTATTGTACTATAACCCAAAATATCTGGTAATTTCACCAAGTCCAACGCATGTCTAGCAGATTGGACATACATAATAGAGAAAGGTGATTTACCAGTAGAACTATGAACTGCACTGTTGAAGGCAAACTCTACTTGAGGTAGTGCATGATCCCAATCTTTTGGATGTTCACCACAAATACATCGCACCAAATTCCCTAAGGTATGATTGACAACTTTCGTTTGGCCATCCCTTTGAGGATGAGCGGTACTACTAAAATTCAAGGAAGTGTCAAACATCTTCCACAAAGTCAACCAAAAATGGCTCAAGAACTTGGTATCATGATCAGAAGTAATAGACTTGGGCATCCCATGTAAACGCACCACTTCACGAAAGAACAGTCAGGCAATATGAGAAGCATCCGAAGTCTTTCGACATGGAATGAAGTGTACCATTTTTGAAAATCGATCCACCACTACAAAACCTGAGTCCACCACTCTTTGTGTACGTGGCAATCCAAGGACAAAATCCATGGATAAATCTTTCCAAATACCCTCAGGTACTGGCAGAAATGTATACAATCCAGTATTTTGAGATTGACCCTTCGCAACCTGACAAGTATAGCACTTGCATACAAACCCATGCATATCTCGTTTTTGTTGGGGCCAATAATAACGGGACTCAAGACTTGAGGTAGCCTTGCTCGCTCCCAAATTACCACTTAGACCTCCCACATGCAAGTCACGATTCAACTTTTCACGTAAAAAAAATGAGGGATGGAGAGACGATTATATTTAAAAAGGAAACCATCATAAATATGGAAGTCATCTTGCAGTGTTTTTGACTTACACGTAGTCCAAGTCTCCTTAAAATGATCATCTTCTGTATAAAGATCCTTAAGCACTTCAAACACCGCGACTTCTTGACTCATAGTCATTGGCAAAGTCGCTTGCCTGTTTAAAGCATTAGCGACCTTATTTTGTTGTCTAACCTTATGCTTCAACATGAAAGGAAATGCTGTAGGTACACAATCCAATACGCATGCATCTTGCTAATTTGCTTTTGATTATTGATTACTTTAAGGCTTGATGATTCATGTAAAGTACGAATTGATTTGGGATCAAATAATACTCCCAATGCCTCAAAGTATGCACAACAACATATAACTCTTGCTCGTACATCGACTACTTCTGATGAGCATCACTTAGTTTCTCACTAAGAAAGCCATGGGCTGATCTTCTTGTGATAATACCGCTCTAATGCCGATGATAAGTAAATAATTTACATTGATTTCATTTGATAAAATGCAAGTTTTGTTGTGTTTTTAGGGGTTGATAGCCATGTTTAAGCCCTTTTAGTGCAAAATTTCTTCAAGTGTTACTTCATAAACTAATGTGCAAAATGAGTGGATTAATGCATAAACATATGATATTTCATAGGTAATTGGGCATGAAACACTCTCTCTACTTGAAGCAGATGCAATGCACTTTATGGAGACTAACTTGTAAGTGGAACAAGAAGAGGAAGTTGCACGAAAAAGGAAGAGAATTAAAGCCGAAAATAGAGGAGATGGATCCGAGTTCAGATCCATTCTCAAAGGCCACATATCCAAGCCCTCGTCTATGATTCTGGAGAAGTTGATCCGAGAGCAGAGGATCCGAGCTCGGATCCATATGGAATAAGCCTCAGACCTTGCTGCAAGAAAAATGAAAGAAAATGGAGAAGTTGATCGAGCTCAGATCTATGTGGAAGCCCTCGAATCTTAGGCCTTAGATCTTTCTCTTTCCTCTATAATTTACAGAACAACTTGTGTACATTTCACATATACTTTTTGACTCTTGTTTCACAACAATTTTCGACTGGAAGTTGGCAAAGCATCTTGTACACTTGAAAAAGGAATATTGGAGATTCCAATAAAGGGCATTTTGGAACAAGAAGTAAAGAAACAAGTAGAAAAGCACATTATTGAAGAGAAAGGAGGTGTGAAAAAAAAGATAGAGAAGACAAGATAAAGAACTCTTCTTCCTTTTCTCTCTAGCTTAGCATGGATATAATGTTAGATCCAGTTTTCATTTCTATTGAAGAACTTAAAGAACTCTTGATGTATTAAAGGATTTTTTATGGAAATGAGGATGATGGAGCTTGAAGATCATGTTTTTTTATTTGAATGAGTATTCCTTCCTCTTTAGTCTCTTTATTTGTCTCACTAATGCTTTGTTACATTAGAGATATGAGTTTTTTGTTGTTAAATATACCATGTCTAGCTAAATTTTTTTGTTCTGGGATAGATGAAGCTATTTGTGCCTTGATTATGGTTGAATGGAATTGATTATTGCTACATCTTGTACTTGCTATTTCATTTATTCATGATTTAACACTTGTGAATGTTTGATCATCATTTACAAGCCATTTTAGTTGTTAATTTATGAAAATAGTTGACAATAATGAAAAATGAATGAATGGAACCTAAAAAGTAGACACACGAAAGTAGTGGTGCACTTAGGTGGATGTTTATTACATTTCTAGTGCTATATCTGGTTTATACTTGAGATTTTACCATGAAAGTAGGAAAACCCTAGTGTAGACTAAGTTTGGTTCATTAGCGAAAGCAAGTTCCAATGGCTTGAGTGAAATGTACCCTTAGCAAGACAAGAGTATGTGTGATAATTAGCTAATTCATCCATGATTAGGTACTTTTAGTGGATTCTATACCTAGAACATTAGTGTTTAGTTGAGTTACTTCGAGTTATTAACTTGTATTGTATTACATTAGCATTTAGCTAATTAAACTAGTTAAAATTCTTGATAAGTTTAAATAATAGAGCGAGCAAAAAGTCTTAGTAATTCATAGCTGATTTTCCTATGGGATCGATCCTAATTTCCTTATATACTACAATTCACAACCCATGCACTTACACTTACAGTTAACGAGGGATTAGGTTAAAATTTAGAGCACAGGTCTAGTCCTCGTCAAATTTTTGGTGCCATAGCTAGGGAATGACGGTAATATTAAGGCTAAGTGAGCTTTATCAATCTAAACATTGTGTTATATTGTGAATATTTTTTATTTAGTAGACAGAGTAGTTATTTATTTTGCTTCACTTTGTTTGTTTTGTTGTGATAAAATTTTTTGTATTTTGATCTTTGTGGTGCTTGCAACCACGCTCTATGCTCAACAATTCCATTGGATCTAGAAATTGAAAGGGCTCTAAGGCGACAACAAAGGCAAGCACTACCAAAAACTGTGGAAATTCAAGGAGAAGGAGAAGTAACAATTGAACTCCCACCAATTGAACCTATGACTGAAGAAATGGATAGAAGAGCATTACGGACTTCGCGTTATCAGGAGGTGATGGTTTGCAAACAAACATAGTGAGACCTACGGTAAATGCTAATAATTTTGAAATTAAACCATCTCTTATACAAATGGTGCAATAATCTCACTATGGAGGTAATGCTACCGAAGACCTAAATTCTCATTTGTCCATATGCTTAGAAATTTGTGATACAATAAAGTTTAACGGTGTTAATGATGATGCAATTAAGTTTAGATTGTTTCCATTCTCACTAAAGGACAAAGCCAAGGTTTGCTTACAATCTCATTCTCCAAATACTTTTATCACTTAGGCGGAGTTATCTAAAACTTTTCTTAATAAGTTCTTTCCACCTGACAAAACTGCTAAATTTCGTATGGATATAACTAGTTTCTCTCAACAGGAAGGAGAGACATTGTACGAAACTTGGGAGCGTTATCGCGGAATTACAACGAAGACGTCCCCATCATGGTCTCCCCGATTGACTCATAGTCCAAACATTTTACAATGGACTCACTTATCTGACGAAGACACATGTAGATGCAGCAGCAGCAGGAGTTTTGATGGGTAAGTCGGCCGAGAAAACTTAACAATTAATTGAAAAAATGGCTACCAATAATTACCAATGGTCCAATGAACAAGATAATACAAGGGGACCCGCAAGTATGCTTGAAGTAGATACATTGAATATGTTAAGTGCAAAGATGGATAATGTGGTTAAGATACTTAATAAGCAAGTTGGTTCTAGTTCTAACCAAGGAGTAATTGTTGCGTGTTGTACTATCTGTGGAGGAGATCATGATGATTCTATATGTGCGAGCATTGACAGGTTCAATATCTCAACAATTACAACCGTCCACTCCAAAACAATCCATACTCCAATATTTATAATTTGGGGTGGTGAAATCATCCAAACTTTGGATGGAAGGATCAACTGAACCAACCAAGACCAACGAATCTACTGAACTTTTAACCAAAACAACCACTTACGGAATCTAAGCTGACTTGGGAGTTGGCAATTGAGAAACTAGCGAATGCATCTAATAATAAAATTGAAAAGTTAGCTAGCGCCACTACTCAACTGTTTGAAAGAATTGATGGTAAGATAGATCAACTCACAAATATATATAGGAATATTGAAGTCCAATTAGGCCAAATAGCCAATGCTATCAACAATAGGAACCAAGGGGAGTTACCTAGTAAAACTGAGGTGAATCTAAGGGAGCATATGAAGGGTATAACCCTCTGTAGTGGTAACGAATTGAGTGAGCCACCTGTTGTTGAGAGAATGAGAGAAGATGAGAGTAAAAAAAATAAGTAGGGGAGTGAGCTATTTGAAGAGAGAAAGAAAAGTAAAGGGAATGATGAAATGGAAGTGATCGAGCCATCGGGGGCTGAGATGATGTCAATTTCTCCACCAGTTCCATTTCCACATAGATTGAAGCCATCAAGAGTTGACAAAGAATTTGAGAAATTTGTCAACATTTTTAAACAATTACATATTAACATTCAATTTGTTGATGCTATTTTGCAGATTCCTTTGTACGTAAAGTTTTTCAAGAAGATAATGACAAAGAAGAGAAATTAGAGGATACCGAGACTATTGTATTAACAGAGGAATGTAGTACATCATACAAAACAAATTGCCACCAAAGTTGAAAAATCCGAGGAGTTTCACGATTTCTTGCACTATTGGTAATGTAGAGTTCTCTAAAACACTATGTGATCTTGATGCTAGTGTTTCATTGATTCCTTTAACTGTAGTTAGGCAATTGGGGTTGAAAGAATTAAAATATACTAACATCTCTTTACAGCTGGCTGACAGGTCTATTAGATATCCCTTGAATATATTGGAAAATGTGCTTATTAAAGTATAAAAATTTATCATTCCCATTGATTTTGTTGTTTTAGATATGGAGGAGGATGTTAATATATCCATTATCTTTGATAGACTACTTCTGACCACTGCAGTTACTATAATAGATGTTAAACGTGGTAAATTCAACTTCCAAATCGGTGAAGAGGAGGTGGAGTTTGATTTGAGTAAAGTAGAAAAGTATTCCTCTTTTACTGATCATGTTTATTCCATTGGCATATGTGTTAAATTGACACTAGAGATGAGTCGAGTTAATCTTGACTATGACTCTCTTGAACTTTGTCTCAATGTTGTAGGATTATAAGATGAAAAAATAGAAGAAATAACTCATTATTTGCAGTCACAGGTCTCTTCCAAAAGGAACAATGCATACAAAGATTTAGGGATGATCAAGGGGCTTCCTCCACGATCTTATGAACAAACTCCATGGCTTGAGTTTAAGCCGCTTCCAATCACCTCAAATATGTATTTCTTGAAGAAAAATAGACATTGCCGATGATTGTCAATGCCGCCCTTAATGAGGAGCAACTTGACAAACTTTTACGAGTTTTGAGGAAGCATCCAAAGGTTTTAGGATGGACAATTTTCGACATCAAGGGCATTAGTCCAACCATTTATATGCATCGGATTTTATTGGAAGAAGATGCTAAGCCGGTGGTTGAAACTCAACGAAAGTTAAATCCCAATATAAAGGAAATGGTAAGGGTAGAAATCCTTAAATGACTTGATGCAGGTATAATTTTTCGATCTCTGATAGTGTTTGAATTTTTTCTATTCATGTTGTGCCAAAAAAGGGAGGAATAACTATAGTATGTGATAAAAATAATGAAATGATTCCTTCTTGACAGGTTGTCAGCCTGTGCAATAATAAAACCTGCTCAAACTAAAAGTAATTTCTGTAAATAGCGGTAAGCAGAGTCGAATCCACAGGGACTGGGAGTAATTGTTTCTTTTTAAATTCACAGTGACAAGGAGGTGTTTTTATCTCAGGGGTGACAATTTAAGCAATCCAACTAAAAGTAAAATAATAAAAATAAAATAGCCAACTAGAAATTAAATAACAATTTACTAAAATCAAATGAGTGATAATTAAGAATCTAGCCAAGAAATAACTTCAGCAATGGTGCACCTAATTGATCATCGAAACAAAGGCAATTCCAATTATTTACTAATAAATAGGTTATAACTGCCAAACAAGCGATGACAGTCAATCCCTCCTTACTGTGTCGATGATTAAGGTACGCCCGTTAATCACTGCTCTAATTGAGAAATAATCCTAGGTACGCCCGTAAGATTTAATTCCCCAATTGTCTTACGTATTAGAGGAGCCCTATTCTAACCAAATAACACACTACCAGGGTTATTTTAGATTAGCCCGCGTATCCCCCTGACACAAACTCAATCATGCCAGTTATCACTATTTTGAGACAATTAAACAATTACGGATTTAACGTCCCAATTGATAATAGATCATCAAATTAACTAATTATCCGGATCCAAGACAATCAATTAATTAAATAACCATAAACACTGCAATCAAGGAATATACGAATACCAATAAATAAAAGGAAAAGATAAAATTAAATCGATCTCACAATTTCAAGCAAGCCAAAGCCTCCGTTGTTCCTTGACTAGACAAAGGGATTTAGTTCATCCCTTGTCTACTCCTATCGAAAAGAAAAGAAAAGTAACAACTCCAGATGAAAGGAAAAGTCAAAAGCTCCTCCATCCAAGCAGTGCTCCTGACTTGCGCAGGAGCAACTACCAAAAGACGGAAAACGGCCAAGTCAAAGTGTAAAGCCACGAATCCCTAAAGTAGTGCTAATTCCCCCTTTTTACATACGAGAATTGAAAATTAAGCCAAAAGCCCACAAGAGAAAAGTCAACAAAAGCAATCCAAAAGTGACCCTTCTCTGCGGCGGCCCCCAGCAAGAAGAAAACCCTCCAGCCGTCCTAGCCTTTGCGGTAATTACCAAATTGGGTTCCAGTATTCCTTTTCCAAAAATGCCCCTGGGATAATCTCTATTACTTGGACTCTTTTCTTGTTAAATTGGCACTTGTTATCATATCTTCGTTCTACTCCTCCCTGAAATAAATGTAAAATATCAAAAGTGAGTAGAATCTAACAATTAATCCACATTAGGTCAGATAATAGGGGAAATTAATAATAAAATAAATTATAAAATTGCAACCTATCACTTCTAAAGTTCTAGTTGGATGGAGAATTTGTATTGATTATAGAAAATTCAATGCGACTACTAGAAAAGATCATTTTTTTTCTTCTTTTTGTTGATCAAATTATAGAAAGATTGGCGGGATATGACTTTTATTATTTTTTGGATAGTTTTTCAGGATATAATCAAATAGTCATTGCACCAGACGATCAAGAGAAAACCACATTTATTTGTCCTTACAGCACCTTTGCATTTCGAAAAATGCCATTTGGATCGTGCAATGCATCTACCACTTTCCAACGATGCATGATGGTAATTTTTTTCGATTGTAATGAGAAAATCATGAAAATTTTTATGTATGACTTCTCTGTATTTGGATCTACTTATAATCATTGTCTTAACAATTTAGATCTAATTTTGTAGAGATGTGAAGAGACAAATCTTGTACTCAATTGGGAAAAATGTCACTTCATGGTTTGTGAGAGTATTGTTCTAGGCCATAAAATTTCTTCAAAAGGTGTCAAAGTGGATCAAGCAAAAGTGGAAGTGATTGAGAGAATACCTCCACCAACCAATGTGAAAGGCATTCGAAACTTTCTTGGACATGCGGGGTTCTATCAGCGATTTATAAGGGTTTTTCCAAACTTGCTAGGCCTCTATGTGATTTACTTGCCAAAGATGTTCCTTTTCATTTTAATGATGAATGTCTATTTGCTTTTAATAGGTTGAAGAAGGAACTTGTTTTCGTACCCATAATAATATCACCAAATTGAAGTTTACCGTTTTAATTGATGTGTGAAACTAGTAATTTTGCAGTAGGAGCTGTTCTTGGACAAAAGTATGATAAGAGATTTCATGTCATTTACTATGCAAGTAAAATGCTTAATGAGATTCAAATCAATTATGCGGCAACAAAAAAAGAGTTACTTGCAGTGATATTTGCATTAGATAAATTTAGATCTTATCTAGTAGGATCTAAAGTCATTGTCTACACCGATCATGCGGCTCTTAAATATCTTTTAAATAAGAAAAATGCAAAGTCTCGACTAATTCGATGGATTTTATTATTGCAGAAATTTGATTTGGAAATCAAAAATAAAAAGGGATCTAAGAATCTAGTTGTAGATCATCTTTCTAGATTGAAGAACACCTCACAAGAAGACCAAATTCCTATTAAAGAAGAGTTTCCAGATGAGTTCTTATTGGCTGTTCAAAAGTCACCATGGTATGCCGATTTAGTCAATTTTGTGGTTAGTGAATTGCTATCAAGTGATTTAAATAGCATCTCAGCTTCAAATACATGTTATTATCAAATACATATTAATCTACTTCATTATTACAGGGTACCCTTGACTGCAAAGCAATAGAGGAAAGCATTAACAGCTCCATGATTGTTTGCTTCGTCAAAAAGACCAAACAATCATA